AGAAAAACTTTGAATGAGAAAGCTGAAAACATGGTAGTATTTAAGAACCTTTTTTTGTCTGTTAAACTTTCAGTGTCTGAAAAAAATCATATACATTAAAATGTAGATTGATATCATTTAAATAATTAAAAGTTAAATTTATCTAATTTATAACAAGTAGTTGAATGCTACTAGTTACATGCAGAAAGATATGCTGCAACATTTCAGAAACATAAATGCTTTTGTGGTACTCTTTTTAAGTACAAATAAATACATGCATTCATTATATAACACTGTTTAAATCTGTTTAATATAGATATAAAGGTCTGAGGGGCTTTATTCAATAAATATAACTCTAACCATGTTCAGCCAAACATGTTTGGGTTCATATGAAAAGTACACCAGAAATTAAAGCAGGAACCAGGGTTGTCAAGAGTATATAGCCAAAATGCCAAGATAGCAATAGCACTTAGACTTATATACCGCTTCATAATGCTTTACAGCAGTTTACAAAGAGTCAACATATCTGGGTGCTCATTTTATTATCATCAGAATCATGCAAGGGTGGGTTAACCTTGCTGCTCGGAAATGAACTCCTGGCAGTGAGCAGTGAGTTAGCCTGCATTCTAGCCATTGTGCCACCACTTCCACCTGTTATTATATGCACAATAAAACCCATAGATGTATCCATATTTGAAAAAAATATGACAAATTTTGTTAGACTGACATTAGTATAAAACATAAAACAAGACATGTCAGTTCATACAAAAAAAAAACAACAAACCAACTAAGACAATCCTTTAATTAAGACTCAATCAAAAGATCACTGATTTATAATTAGGTTAATGATTTCTAAGACCAGGTCATAGATGGCTATAAATGAGAACATACTTAATAGAAATAACAAATCTACATTTTTACTGTTTATTATTTTTATATTTTACCACAAAGTCATCCAGCTGGTTTTTCATATTAAGGTGGGATTAGAAGTCACAGTGTCCTGGTTTCCTGGTCAATTTTCAATATATAATATATTATAATAGAAGCAAATAAACACTTGAGAAAATGTCACTGTATTTCATGTTTCTCAGTAAATGCTCTTTCTAGGAATAAAAGGCTAATTTAGATAAAATAAAAAGACTGCATAGAATCCACGCACAGGAGTAGCTTTATGATTTTGACAACATTAAGTAGAGTTAAATGATAATAGAAACAGATGATATTTGGATAGTTGAAGAACTACAAAATGAACAATCAGTAGGTCAAGAGCATATTTTTTATTAAAGAGTTTTATTTATCCCTCTATTTAATTAGTTGAACTCAGGGAAGAAAACAGAAATCAAAACAGTTCGTTATCTAAATTGATTAAGGAAAAACTCACTTGAGATTCATATACACATCTGAATACCAGCATATGGCACACACCCATGCCAAAGCTCTATTTTAGACTCATGTCAATTCGAAAGTATTTTTTTGTGCGTTCTGGAACCATTACTAGAAATTGGCAGCCATTTTGCCTTTTTGAGGGAAGAAATCCATAACCAACAAGATAGCTTAAAATAAAAATGCTGTATGTACGTACACCTTCTAAAAACCCGGGGAAAACCCACAAAAATCACAGTTCTGCTCACAGATAAACAGAAGTTTATATCATTGCCTCATTCAATATAGTCTTTGTTTCACTGCCAAAATGTCAAATTCAGCAGCTATCAAAATTCTTCCCATCCGTAAATTCAGCAAATCATTAGAAATGCCAGTATGAAAGAAGAAAAAATTATTTAAACTTTAAACTATCAAGCTAGATCTTTGACTAAGTTTCTAATTTAATATGGAGTCACAGCAGATCCAGTTTCCTGTGAAGCAAGCACATTCCCTCAGCATATCCAGTATACTGAATACAAAAAGAATGGGAAATGAATCTTATTTCAACACTAGTCATTGGACAGTGTGCTCCATCCCTTGATCAGCAAGCTGGTGGTATTGGCACAGATTAAATAACTTTAGGTGATGTAGGAGGACTGGTGGGAGGCTGCTTGCTGTCTTTCCCCAAGATCTGCAGCAGTTGTTTTAGGCTGCTTACTGATAGGTAAGTCCTAAATCCCAGAAACTCCTTGAAAAAAATGGGACACTCTGCCAGTACTTTTAGCTTACCCCATGCCTTTTTCATATACAGAATTGTAACTTTACTAATGACTATTTTTAAATCCAGTGCAAATCCTTTTAAATCTACACTCTACATTTGGCAGCCAACAAATGTGCATGAGGCAAACATTTGCAAAATCATATGCTTTATTTAGACCTTACGAATAAGTAACATCTGTTCCTGCTGATGGAAAATATCCTTTTGGTCACCAAGGGATCAGAGTCACATGTTAGTCCAGGAAAAGCCTTTGTGAACCACAAGTCAGATAGACTCATCACTCAGCACCTAATAGATATATACCAAAATGAAGCCAACATTCCTGTCCAAATTGGGAGGTAACAAAATGTTCTCTAGAGGATGTCACAACCAGACAATAGAAAGGAAAGAAAATGATTCTATTTGTTATTATTAGGAATTTCACTTTCTCGCTCTCTCTTTCCCCATTCCATCATATGCAAGTATTGTTTATTGTTAGCTGAATTGCTTTCATTGTTTTAGTGCATATTACAGCTCTACAAATGATGACTAAAAGCATACATCCCATTCAAAAAATTGTGGGATAGTTTTAGTAATTTAGAAAAGTTAAGATTTAATAGAGAATTGAATTTATTTATTAGATGCATAATTGGATAAACTTTAAATCTAAAACACAGTAGACTAGAAGACTAGAAAAGAAAGTTCAAGAAAGAGCATCAGATTATCTTATTTTTCATTCAAAAGAATTAGGCAATCTATGACATACTGTAACATTATTTAGCAAGTGAATGAGCAAGCTGAAAAGAAATAATTCTGCATATATATCCCTAATATTTTATTATCACTGCTCTCTCAGGCAGGATTAGTATAACTATAGAATTTTTTTGAGGCCCTGTTGTATTGTTACATCTGTGAGTACTGCCAAATTAGGTGGATAAATACCTTTGATGTTATGTAACAAATCAGACTGTTACTGGCTGATCCTGATCTTCATCCAAAGTAGCTTCTTAGGTCTCTGAGTGGATCTACACAACTATTTAAAATTTAACTAAAGGTGACAGCTTTGTAAAGACTTGGAGGCAGTATAATAAGGCTCAGGAAACAGAAGTGGGGATATTTTAGCTGCTTCTTATAGTCTGCATTAACTTGCTTTCGATTGCATCTAATGTATGTCTTCATGCATCAAAGGGACTCTTCAAAATCACCCTTTTAAGCCTTCATTAAAGTGATTGGTGATTTTGAAGAGTCCTTCTCCATTCTTGCATATAAGCATATTAAAAAGCAAACCAAAAAAAGCGCAAATTTTTGCAAACTAATTTCTGCAACTATGTAAAAAGTATTAAAAAAACTTCATAGAACTGCAGAAATTAGCTTGCAAACATTTGGTTTTTTGCTTTCCCTTTTTCATATGTTAAAATGCAATAATGGAAAGAATAGATATTCAGGGATAAAAGAGAAATGGAGTGATTGACAAACTATTTTGTAATTACAAGGAATCATTAATTAGTCCAGGTGTTCTGCTTTCGAGAGAGTTGTTGATTATACATCATTGTATTAATTCTGGCTCATTTGAAGGATATATTCATGTAAAGAATGGCAAGTATGTCAATTTCAGTTACTAACATTTTTTCACTTAGAAAATGGCCAAGATAGTTGGATTTGATTTCTTATTTAAATTAGTAATAAAAATTGTATATATTTTTTGTATATTTTCTCAAGCATGCACAGTGTAATTTGAGTTTTTTCTAATGTGTTAATTTTGCTATAAAAATTAACAGTAATTCAATTTTGTAGAGTATGTATGTAATTTCATGCATGTTAATATTTTATATTATAGGTGAACTGCCCTGCAAAATTAAAAAAGGCTCAACTTTTGAATGTGAATTAGGTTTCCATTTTTGCATTAAAGACTGCAACATATGTTTGCAAGCAAATATGAACTAAACAATTCTTTTTCTGTCTATAGTTTCGATCACATTTTTCTTATTATTCTAACCAATCCTCATTTTTATCATTCAGTCTTGCTTCTAATTACTTTATTCTTTCAATGCTTCCTTATGTCTTCTATACATCCATTGATCAACTAATAGAATCAATTGTCTCTCCATCCAGTTTCAGGAATGGAGGCCTTAAATCTTGATTTCCTTTCTTAAATTATTACTAACATGATACACATATAACAACTTCCTATTCTATAGTTTGGTTGGTTTTTTTCTTTTCTTTCTTTTTTGTCCTATCCCCTCATTACTGCATCAGAAATTCAATTGATTTTTTTAAAAGATTACTCCCATTAATATCTTATAATAACATCAAGCAGGCTTTTGCCCTTCTGCTCCACAGAAGGTTTCTGTTCTCCCTGAGCTCGCCTTAGGACACCTGTGTTATGGTTTGACATAAATTGCATTCATTTTTTTCTTAAAACAGAAGGAACTGTTTATAGCATTCTTATGCATGGGATACAAGGTCCTTATACCTTAGTTTTGAAGTACAAAAAGGATGCATGTAAATGTTTTAACTTTCACTGCAGAATAATGCCCTACAGCCAATTGTCTGCAGACTCCTTGGCTTCCCATGTTCAGTTAAATTCCAAAGAAAGGCAAGGTGTTTTCAGAATGAAAACTTCTTTTTAATTACCAAAAGAATCTTATCATTAAAAAAGTCTTGTAACTTTTATCTGAAATTTTAGAGGTTAGCCATGCAAGAGATCATGTTTCATTCTGCTCTAACATAATCATCAGTATACAGGTACAATACATCATTTTAGATTTCCAATCTTATTGTGAATCTCTCCTCTTATTAATTTTTGGACTTGTAATCCAAAATATGTAAATGGTCCCTGATTACTCACACATTTATTAATTTGCTCAGTTAATGCAATCTTCCTCTGTTTTCTCTTTTTCAGAATCATAAACGGAGCACAACAGACTCAAAGGCAGTTTTTGAGCCTTCAAACACTATTGGAAAGAAAATGGGATTGTTATCTTGCTATTATCAATATTGATTTATAGTCTCAGATGCTGACCTAGAAAGCAGCAGACTGTGAATTTTAGTCCCACCATAAGGATGAAAGCTGACTGGATGACTTTGGGCCAACCACTCTCTCTCAGCCCAATTTAACTCACCATGTTTTTGTAAGGAAAATAGGAAAGGTAGGAGTATTATGTATGTTTTCTGTCTTGAGTTGCATATGGAGTAAAAAGAAAGTGGGATAAAAAAATCAGATAAATAAATGAACAAATAACATCATGGATTTAATAGGATTTGGTTTTGGTTTTGGTAAAAAGAATATTTTTGCAAATTCTTTGCCATAGGTCTCAGCTAGGAATTTCATAATAAACTTAGGAAAATAATGTACCAACAATTCATTGGTAATAACTCACCAATGAAGGCAAATATACACGTCTCAGAAAAGGAAACTTAAAAGGGAACTGTTTAAAGTAGACAGAACTGAACTGGAAACAGATTACTGACAAGTTTAATAAAGAACTATTAAAACAAACATGGCATTTAGCCTAAATATGCATTCATTGGTATGTATAACAAGGAAAGTGGATAGTTTCTCAAAGATGGAGCATCTTCACCAACTATTATCCATCTACAGACATTCAATGAAACAAACTGAATATAGACTTAACCTTTATAAGGTCCAGAGTTGATGGTATTTTGTGACTTCATTTCAAAAGAATCTCAGAAGCATGCATGTGTATGTGTATGTATATTGTATATGTATGTGTGTATGTGTGTATATGTGTATATGAGGGAATCCTATAACTGAAAACGTCTTTTGATCCAACTGTCAGTTACAGACACTTTTTGTAGATAGGCATGGTCAGGATGTTCTGTAGAGGCAATATCAAGGATCAATACAAAACTTCCAAAGATTCTCAATATGCTCTTAAAACAGTTTGCAATGCGAAGCCATTGCAAATTATTTTCCAGACAAGTAATGAAGGGAAAAAACATAAATACTTCTTTCTCATTTTTACCTACTGGCAAAAGTTTAACATTATTTTCAAAAGTCAGAAGTTATCCAAAAATAATTTAATTTAATTTAATTTAATTTATTGCATTTCTATGCCACCCAACTCCCAAGGGACTCTATTAGAAGACTAATGTTACCACTTGCAATTTGGCTTGGGTTATATGAGTGAAGCAAAAGAAAGCCAAACTACCTACAATAATTCTTTATATTTTAAGGCATGATATTATGCTTCATTATCAATATGAGAGGTTCTTAATTCTAGGTTATACCATCTCAAACCACTGCCTTTCTAGTCATTCTATAGTCATAACCCTAAATTGCCCAGAATCACTCAGGACATTATGATAGGTAACAAACAAACAAATAGCAAATAAATAAAGTTAGTGATATAATCATGTGGGTAACACTAAAAATAGTATTTATTTGTGCTAATATGTAAAAGGGCATAGAATTGAACTGGCTAATTTTGACATATTTAAACAAGGCTAAAAAAAGGAGAGTATATACATGTATTTAAGGGAAAAAAGGCTGAAATCTCTGTTAAAAAACTCCAGCTTTTAATGGTTTCTTATTAAATCAGTCATTGTTTTTGGCTAATAAAATGGAAAATGCTTTATGGATTTATAACAAAGCAAACTAGGGTTGCATGAAAAATAACTTTCAGCGATTGAGTACAGGTGGAGACTTGTTTAAACTCCAAAGACATAAAGTCTTAGTATGTATGACTGAAAAAGGTAACATGGCACAATAAAAAATCTTCCTTTCTTCAGTCATCAATCCACTGGGTATTCCATGTCAAATATACGCTACAACAATTTACAGTAAAAGTACACAGTGGAAGTGCCAATGTTAACACTCCTTAGGATTGGAGAGGGTCCAGATTTTTCTCGCCAATATTTAAGACTCACTGAAATGTCTTTTCCATTGGAAGTGTCAGCTACAACATGCTTTGCTATATTTGGCAACACGGGTATGCCAAGCATAAAGTCCAGCGAGCCTGATGTACATTTTTATTTTAACCATGATGAATTGTGCTTCATTTGTTTAAGCGCACATGGCAGTTTTAGTGTTCCTACTATAAATTTTGGCTAACTTCTATTGACATGCTGTATTAAACTTAAAAAAAACAAATTACACTACAGCCATTTTAATTGACTAAATGTGTCAGAAACACAATAAGTATAACATTAAAGGTCAAGACCTCAGACTATACTATAATGGGTGTTATGGCAAATGTCCAATTTTTTCTTCTTCTTCTCCCTTTCTTTTTCTTTGGTACATTTCATTTTTCACAAATGTTTGGCACAAGGCAGGCATTTAACATTCTTGGGTGCTTCACATTTGATAAAAGAATTCTTTTGTCATCTGTGACCAGATTATTTGAAATTTTCTGTTTTTAAATGTCGGTTGCTTATGGTCATCTATAAACATACTCTATGAAATGATATACTCATTTGGAAAGAGGAAATAATTATTTATGCCATGTAATGCAATTGAAAACTGGAAAAAACATGCTTAGAAGACATAATTAAATAGGTGAGATATTTCATAGTTCTGGCCAAAAATATCTTGGCAATAAATCATTCCTAGAGGATTTTACTAGAATCTCTCAGTTTTGATTCATGCCTTTTATATTAAGTGCCTGATGTACATATCTTCCCAGTTTTTAAATTGAATTTGTTTGGACTGATATTTCTTAACTTGGTATCCTATAGATATGCCAGGATGTCAGATTTTCAAAACAGGAAACAGGAATCACATTATAGGTGAGAAAGGACAGTGTATAAATACATGTATATATGTATGTATGTATGTATGTATGTATGTATGTATGTGTGTATATATATATATATATATATATATATATATATATATATATATATATGTTTTTCTTCTAGCCAGGTTTTCCCTACGTAGCCAAGGTTTTTTTTTTTTTTTTGTAGCTCCAGCTCAGTAGAATCTCATCTACTCGGTTCTGGGTAAGAAAATTTATATATATATATATATATATATATGTAGGTCTTTGGTTATTCGGGTTTTCTCCCACGTAAAATTGGAGGTGTCTTGGCAACGTTTCGACGAAGTCTCCTTCGTCATCTTCAGGCTGGTGTTCTCGGCTTCGTGCTTCTAGGAGCAATGTATGTGATCGCAGCTGTTTCTTCCTTTTAACTGCCAGTGGGAGTGTGAGCTGATTGGGTGGGAGCTTGGCTGTGTTCTGATTGGGTGGAGGTGTGTTCTGATTGGTTGGGGGTTTGGCTGTGCTCTGATTGGATGGGTGTGTGTTCTGTTTAGGTGGGGGCTTGGTTGTGCTCGGGTTAGTCTGAGTAGCAAGAGATTTGAGCTGGTGAGCTGTGTTGCTGTTGTTTGGCTTCGTGTTCGTGGCCGTGCTATCTCTTCATGTTGGGTGTCAGTCTGCTTCATGTATGGATTGGAGGGGTTTAAAGTGGCTAATGATGCAGCTGTGGTCTGGCTTCTGGTCTGTGGTTGTGCCTGATCATCAGTGTGGGTTTGAGTCTGCTTTCTGCGTGGATGTGTGGTGGTTACATCCTGTGTGGCTCTCGTGAGTGTGGGTCTGGTATCATTCTTTGTGTTAGGGACTCGTTTGTCAATAAGGGCGGGTTTCCAAATGGCTGGCAGGCGGGAGGTATCATCTTGTTTATTCATGCTGTGTGGACGTTTTTCTATCTCGATGGCTTCTCTGATTATTCTGTTGTTAAAGTGTTCCGTTTTGGCGATAGTTCTGGTCTTTCTAAAGTCAATATCATGTCCTGTGGCTTTGAGGTGCTGGACCAGGGAAGAAGTTGGTTCCTCTTTTCTAACTGAGTTCTTGTGTTCTTCAATGCGTGCACTTATTCTTCTGTTGGTTTGTCCGATGTATGTGGTGGGGCAGGTGGTGCAAGGGATTTCATATACTCCTTGATTTTCTAACTCAATTTTGTCTTTGGGGTTTCTTAGGATGGTGGATATTTTTTGGTTTGTACAGAATGCTGTCTTGATGTTGTGTTTGTGGAGGAACTTGCTGATTCTGTCTGTGGTGCTTTTATGTATGGGAGGAGGGCTTTGCCGTTTTCTTGTTCTCTGTCTTGGATTTTAGTGGGGGTTTCTTTTTGGATTAGGTTGGTGATCTTATTTCTTTGGAATCCATTGGATGTTAGTACGTTAGTGAGGGTGTGTAGTTTGGTTTTTAGGTGTTGTTCATCAGCTAAGCATTTTGTTCTGGAGATGAGTCTTGGCTACGGAGTTGATCTGTGCTGGGTGGTGGTGTGAGAGTGCGTGCAGATAGCGGTTTGTGTGTGTTTTCTTCTGGTAGATGCTGTGTCGTAGGGAGCCATTGGATTTTTTGTAGACTAAGACATCCAGGAAGGGAAGTTGGTTGTTCGTTTCTGTTTCCATGGTGAACTGTATTTTGGGGTGTAGGCTGTTGAGGTGTGTGAGGAAGTTCTCCAGTTTTTCTTTCCCATGTGGCCAGATTATGAAGGTGTCGTCTACGTATCTGAGCCAGAGTTTCGGTTTGTGATCAGATTTTTCTAGAGCTTGGGTTTCAAAGTGAAACAGCTGCGATCACACACATTGCTCCTAGAAGCACGAAGCCGAGAACATCAGCCTGAAGATGACGAATGAGACTTCGTCGAAACATTGCCAAGACACCTCCAATTTTATGCAATTTTATATATATATTCCTAATGATGGCTTATCACTGTTAACTGCATTTTGATTACCCTTCTTGAAGCAGAGGCAGAGGCAGATTTTTTTTTCTTATTTTCCTCCCCAAAAGCTAGGTGCGTCTTAAGTCCAGAGCATCTTGTAATCTGAAATATACAGTAGTTTCCTTATCAATTTTTCATCTGTCTCTAATAGTATATGATCAAGTATTGTTGGTTCTTTATAGAAACCCCATATTTTTGCATCTTTCTCATATTTCGATTGTATTTGCAGGGTTAGGATTAGCCATGCTAGGTCCACCCCTTAGTTTTGTCATTCCTGTCTGGTTTTAAGTCCTCTTTCTTCGGTTAAGATGTCTTTGTAGGATACAACTTTTTCCAAGTTGACAATATTTGGATGTATCAATGCTTCCATTGCAGAAAGCCAGACTGGTATTTTCCTATAATTTTTTGATTTAACTTTTTTCCTTACTAAAAATAAAGCATTCCTCACATACTGCCTGTTAGGATATGGTTTGAGCCTAACAAGTTGTCCAGGCAATATATGTTTTCTGTGACTTTAATATGAATATGTATTATGTGACTTTAAAGTTTTACTGCTGATTCATTGTAATGCTGAGTCATGTTGTAATTAGATAATCACTAGTTGTAAATGTATTTAAGAAAGGTATTGTAAAGTATTCAGTTGGTGATATGCTACCATTGTGTGAGGAGTTGCATCCATTGTGCTATCATCGGTTGGATGGATCTGCTGCCATCGTGGTTTGTGAACCAGAGTGAGTTTGTTATTCTAACCAACTACTGTTTGTGTGGTAAGAGTTTTTGTATCACTGGACTGATTTTATTGGCAAAGACTTGGATTGATTTCATTTTTCATTTCATTTTCATTTTATTAAATTTGTATACCGCCCTACTCCCGAAGGATTCAGGGCGGTGAACAGCCATAAAATAAAACATATAAATACAAAATTTAAAATGGAGATAAAACAAATTAAAGATTTAAAGACTATGAGATTGTTTCTTCACTATAAAGTAAACTTTTGATAAACCAGTTTGCACATCTCTTATTCATTGCTCTCAGCAACGTTTCTCTGTGCTTTACACTCTGCTGGTTGGTAACACAACAACAATATTCTTAACAGTGCCTTTGAAATTATCTATGTACTGTATCCCTTCCATACAACAGAAAGTAATATAATAATTTTCTATGCCTCATATTTATCCATTCTTTCACCCATGTAAGTACAGATGCTTGGTAAAAGAACTGTCAGCCCTGGAGGCCGTCTTTTCTTTTGGATCTTCAGGGCTGCCACACTTTGTCTGTGGGAAGCTGGGAGGGGGGGCTGCTTGGAGTTGGTAAAACCATAACAACATTCTTTTGTCTGAGAGTCAAGGATGTTCAGCCTGCACCTGGAGTGGTGTGACTGGGAGGCATCTCCAGTTGGGATGATGGATTGATTGAACCATGTGATGGACATGTGGGTGTAGGGGAAGGGACTTGGACTTTCCTTTGGATGGGGAAAACCCGGGAGCTTTCAGATTCGGGTTTTCCCCAGATGTGCCAATATGACATCTCTAATAAAATGGAACTTTGAGGAACTGCTGACCTTGGAGTCTTCATTGGTTGGGGGTGTTACTTGGAACCTTGACAACAACTCCCAATCCGGTAACCCAAACCCCAATTACATTTAGACTCCTGTAACATTTTCAGCCTTATTCTTGCTTTTTTCTCTGAAAATATATTTCAAAATTATTTTATTCAGTTCCTCAAAATATTTTTCTCTAATTTTATTGGCATTGTTTGATATAAGAAAAGTAGTTTCGGCAATATATTCATTTTTATAGTAGCTATTCTCCCTATCATTGAGAGTTTCTTCCATTTCTCCAAATCCAATTTAATTTGTTGCATTAACTTTATACAGTTATCATCTTTAACTGTTGCACATCTTGCTGTTAAGTAAATTCCTAAATATTTTGCTTTCTTTACTATCTGGAGATCTATTGTCTTTGTCAATTCGTTTTTCTACTTGTCTGTAAGATTTTTAACTAATATTTTAGTTTTTTCTTTATTTATTTTCAATCCTGCAACTTCTCCATACTTCTCTATTTTTCTTTTTAGTCTGGGGCTGGTTTCTAATGGTTCTTCTAATATAAAACCAGGTCATCTGCAAATGCTTGTAATTTATACTTTTCTTTTTTTATTTCCATTCCTTTTATTTCTGGATCCTGTCTAATATTTCTAATTAACACTTCCAGTGTCAATATAAATAACAATGGACATCCTTGTCTTATGCCTTTTTTTGTATAGAAGTTCAGAAAACCTATTTCTGAAGATCCAGGAAGGCTATCTTGAAATATAATATTCAGCTAGAGGCTGCAAGGTTTTAGGACAAATATATGCCTTTCTTCCATACTGTCATACAATTATCATGTAAGATCAGGGAAGTTAGGGATCTATCAGTAAAAATTTGTAAGCCAAGTCCAGCCACCAAACAATTCATAAGAATTGAAAATATACCTTGGGACCTGCAACAAGACTCATAAAAATTCAGACTAGACTGCTTCTTGAAACCTTGAACCAGTGGTGGGATTCAGCCAGTTCGCACCACTTCGGGAGAACCGGTTGTTAACTTTCAGAGCAGTTTGGCAAACTGATTGTTGGAAGAAATCATTAGGACAGAGAACCGGTTGTTAAATTACTTGAATCCCATCACTGCCTTGAACCTCTGCGATTACAAACCTTCATGCTGGATAACTTCAAAGTGTTTTATTGTGACTGGTTCATGATTGCAGACTTGAACTTATTCTGTGTTTGGCCCCTGAAATTTTAATGAAATTGACTGACTTCTGTGAGTTTGAATAATTGTTTTTTTTCCCTAAGAAGCTGTTTTTTTTAACATTTGTTTTTGTTCCTCTGCTGTCTAGTTAATTATTGGTTGTTCCTTTGTGGCTTATTTTTATGTAATTGGTTTTCTATGTGGCAAATTCACTGGATAATTCTTCAAGGAAATAATGTAATTTCTCTCTTCAGTGTAGACAATTAAATAAATAAAGAGGATGTGGAAAGGAAGAAACCAATCTCCTGGGAATATCTCTTATGTTAAAACAGGAAATCATGTACTATACTCCAATTTCCTTATCAAAGCTTTCTATGTATATCTTTTCTCTAATGCAGCTTTCATTCTATTGGATGATAAAGAATGAAGTGCTTCTTTATATAGTACAATGGGATTTCCTCTCCTCTCAAAGTATAAACATATTATGTAATGTTCTAATAAAGATTAGAAATCAGGGTTTCAGTATTCACAATCTGATTGGATCACATAATATATTTATGTTCTTGCACAAAAACACTGACCACTCATTCCTTTCTGCTGCTTTAATGATATAAGTGCACAAAATATGAATTTTGAAAGTGGCAATGTCTCCCGTTACATATCAAATGGCTCTCAACTTACAAACCTCAAAGCTGGTACTTAATGCCTGGTAGGAAATTCTGAGCATTTCTATTAGTGTGGTGGTATTAAATGAAATCACAGTTAATTGTAGTTTAAATGATTGGATCTTGCATGTTGGAATTAAAATGGATTTGAATGAAAACATCAAACATTTCTATGCTTTGTAATATGAACTGTTAATGTTCAACCAAATTAAATCACTTAGGGTTTAAATATAATATCTAATTGCTGGATAATGGGCTTTATGCATTATTTTCTCTCTAAAGTCTCAAGAAAATTCCGTAATTATCTGGTTTTGGCCACATATTTTATCACAGTATATGCCCTTTCATGGTGCTGATACTTTTCTCCCTAAGAGTCATACCCATTTTACTATTTATCAGTTGCTTTGCCATGTAAATAGTAGTAGGATGAGTTTGAAAAAATGTCACTGTGAAAGGGTAGAGAGCAAGTGAATTATTGATTAAAACATGAAAATTTCTTAACAAACATTTTTAAGAAGTTTCTTTATATAGAAAGCAACCATCATAGAGGAATTTTCATGTGTTACCAAGAATGTCAAAATACAATCAGTTATGTTTCATTTTTCTTTTACCTTTTCCTAAGAGACTCATTCTTATGAGTTAATTTGTATTTTGTGAAACTCCACAAGTTCTGATCATATTTTAGAATATTAAACATTTTCTAGTTTAATTCAGAAGAACCACTTGCATTATCTAACTGCACTGGCCGTTTACAAATTTAGAAGTGCAATGCAATGGTACAATGACTGGATTAGTGTACCTGTAATCTATTAACCAAGTTCTACATGCTTTTGATAAAACACATGGTAGTGCATACTAATAGAGAACCCAACATTTAGGCTGTAGTCACTATTGCACAGAACTCAACCTCATTTTAATTTAATATATTGGGGGAATCCAGCATACATGCTGCTTATAACTCAGTGTGTTGTTTGAATCCAGAAAATTGGATTGAATAAATGATAGTTATAAAACCATGAATAAACACAATTTTAAAACAACAAGTATCACCCTACAGTAAGGGCATTTGTTGGCAGAAACCATCAAAGCTATGAGACAACTGAATCTGTTTACTTATAAAAATGTAAGAGAGGAGACTATGAAGACAGGGAACATCTCAAACAGTTATATGCAAATGGTAAAACAAAGCTTTATATACAGAAGACCACATATTTAAAGTTTGGTAACTCCATCTAAAGGATCGCATATGGCAGATACTATGACAAAATGTTTTTTTTATTTTTTGGAAAATATTCGTATTTAGCAGATGTGGAAAGCTTATGGTTTTCCATATGTTGTTTAATTCTATTTACCATTACTGCAGTCAGCATGATATATGAGCAGATATTTTAGGAATTGGGTTCTAGCAACATCTGGAATGTCATGTGCTCTTCCAGTGAGATATTATATGCAGTACTGATAGATCTTTGTATGCAGAATCATTTAGAGTTTGCAGATAATCAATAAATCATTTTTTTTAAGTTTTTGCAGAGATATTCAATATTTCTGTTACATTCAGCACATGTAGTAGTAACATTTGGTAAATGATTTCAGCATTCAGCAGTAGGTTCATGCTATGCTGAATCAGGGCACTTGCATTTTGTGCAGTACTTTTAACATTCTGCAGCTTTTTTTGTAGGAAAAAAGGATTTTCTGAAGAGGGGGTAAAAGAGAGGTCACTTTGAGTCACTAGGTGATAGTAGGAGTTGTTTTTCCTTCTATTCTTTCACTGTAAACAAACAAGAAATCTTCTATATCTTGTTCACCATAACATCAGATGATTGAGAAAGAAGAAGCAGAAGAAATATGAATGAGAAATGAGATGATCTCTTTGAATGGAAATTGTATTTTCCTTTTTTATTTGATCCACACATTCATTAACTTTGAAGAGGGCTTGAAAAGGAACAAATGGAAAAAGCATATACAATGCATTTATGTTAACTGTTGTGTACCAGCGATATCTGTTTTATCTAAAATGGAAATGAAATTTGCCACTATGTTTTAGAAAACATAGAGGTTTTTTCCCCCCTCATTTTCAAAGGCGAGCAGTTTAATGGAAATAGGACAAGAGTAAAATATATATTTAAGGTTTCTTCAGTTGAAAGATCTTACAGTATTTTCAAATAGAGATAGTTTCTATAAGAATATCTGTTCATACTATGGAGACTTGTTAAGGATATGGAAACATGTGATCCAAAGTGTGTTTACTTCTGGCAGCACTAAAACACGAATGGGACTCAGATTACTGATTGATAAACTAAGCCAAAGATAAAATTGTTAGCACTCACAGCAACATAATTTTAGTTGTTGAAGCTCAAGAGAGCCAAATACTAGGGATGGGGTTGAGTAATGGTGATAAGTTAAAACCAGCATTTTCTAATCAGAGTGGGAGGGAACAGACTTCTTTTCTTCTAACTCTTTTTCTCTCCATTTGGTTATGTCAAAGATTAGCTGTTATTTCAGGAACATTGTACAAAGTTTTCCAAAGGATTTTCTTTGTAAATGATTGCCACATGTTTGTTCCATTTAAACAGGCAGGATATATAAATTTGATTGATGGCATTGGTTCAAGTTATGTTGTGAATCACTTTTTTATTAGGAAGACTTTATTCATGTTACTTATTGAGTGCCTAGCAAAATGCAACATTGATTTTCATTTCACATTTTTGAGTAAAAACAATTCAGAATAAAACCATAAAACTGATCAAGAACATGCATGGTATACATTTCTTTTCTTTTCTTTTCTTTTCTTTTCTTTTCTTTTCTTTTCTTTTCTTTTCTTTTCTTTTCTTTTCTTTTCTTTTCTTTTCATATACTTAGAACTTTTAAGGCCTTCTGCTTCATTTCTTAATCTGTATTCCTAAGAAAAAGAAAAATTATTTCATTTAAATATGACTAAAGTATTGCAATGTACATTCTTTGTGTGGTGTCTTTAAAGTCCAGAAAGTGTAGCTGGCCAAGAATGTATCAGAATAAGTGGCAAATACAACCATTTTAAGGTTCCAAATTACCTACTACCTTTTGAAACAACTCCAGTTCACTTCATGATGCTCACAACATTATAAGGCTTTAGATGGCTTAGGACCAACAAACTTACAAGAGTTTCTATTACTGTACAGTTATCAGGGGAATAAATAACCACAGCCAGGGATAAAAAAGAATTGCCATAGGAATTTAAGTAAGTTTTCTCTTAACCGCTAAGTGGAGGTTCCAAGTATTTTTTAGATCATTTAATGTCACTCTTTTATAGTACATATATTTCATACTACTGTTGTTGTTGTTGTTGTTGTTTGATGTTTTTATTGTACCTGCTGATTCAACCAAAGCCATTGTAGGAGTGGGTGATAAACACAGAGAAATAGAAACAAAATGGAATTCATGTTTCTAAACTGCATAATGTTTTTATCTTCAGATTTAATGTAAGAAAGGATGTGCTATTCATATATATATTCTTTATTATAGTTTTTGATCAGTACAAAACAAAAGTATGGCAGATTGAAAGGATAATATAGCAGAAATGTCACCATGCGATATATGACAAATGAAACTCTGGACCTCATTAGTTTATCAATGAGTGAAGTCCCAAAAGATCACTTCATGGATTCTAAAAACGGCAGCACAAATTTGGCCAAGTACCAGTTGAACCCAGATCTTCAAAAGAAAAGAAATATAAAATAATTCATTTATACCTGGTCTGTTAGACAAAAATAAAGTAGTATAAATGGTATGAATGGCTCAGTAAAATAGTTCCGTCTCTTTTTTCCCTTTACCACAAAATCATATCTGATCTTCCACAAGCATATTGCAATATCTATCCTCTAATATTACTGATAAAAACATTAAAGAGAGCTAACAATGTAGAGAGGGGTCTACACTGCTTGAGATTGGTTAAATGTGTTTGGCCAGTTGGGAATTCTTAAAAGTCAACCATATAATATCTCTGATTTTGGCCAAATTAAATTGATAGTCATAGTTGAAAATACTTTGATGCTTTGTTTACACTTCTCAGAACACTTCTCAGACCCAGAGATGATATGATATTAGGTGAAAATCCACAAAAAACTAGTAAAATATTATTGTTGCAATGTTTTCAGGTTCAGACTCAATAAATCATTTAAGAATTAATAGTTCAAATATATCTCTCTTTATTTACACAAGGCATTCTATATTCACTGAATATTCACAGATAGAAGCAAAGAATGAGTGCGTGCAGCTCCTTATATATACAATGGGTGGAGCTAGATATGGGAGTGGTGAAGTATGAATACATTAAGAAGTGAAGAATAAATTAACCCCTGATATCCCGTTCATATACTATTTACATATTGGAGAATAAGGCATTTACTTGTGACAAATCCCCCTCTAAATGCCGATTCGATATGCTACACCAATTACATTCAGATTCAGAACAATACAAAACATATAACTTAGAAGTCAGGTATTTATGTTGCTTAGATGGCAAAGGTTTTGTTAATATGTCAGCTAATTGTTCTGATGTCTCACAATGCACCGCTTTAATAAATCCATCCTGAGATAACTGTCTCACATGTTTAAATTTTATATCTATATGTCTGGACCTTTGTCCAATGGCGTCAGATCTAGATATTTCGATAGCCGCTTTATTATCCTCATGCATGACAAAAGGCAAGGCAGGTTTTTTTCCAAATGTCAGAAATTAAGTCATTAAACCATACAAGGTTATTTGCTGCTTTAGATAGACAAACATATTCTGCTTCTGTTGTTGAAGTGGTCACTAAATCTTGTTTGCCAGTGTACCAGTAAACTGGACAACCGTTAAGGAGGAATATATAACCAGATGTACTTTTTCTGCATGAAGTGTCTCCAGCCCAATCTGCATCTGCGTAACACGTGAGGTTTGGCTCCTTGACATTATTAGGCTCTAATATCAAACAAAAATCTAAGGTATTCTTTAAATATCTTAATATCCTTTTGACAGCTTCCCAATGGTACATTGTTGGTTTGCTGACATGTCTGGACAATAAATTGAGGGGTAAAGCGATATCAGGTCTGGTCCAATTGGAAATGTAAAGAAGGGAGCCTATGATTGATCTATAGAATGTGTTATCTTTGAACTCAGGGGATGATTCATCTGCATTCCTTAGAAAGTCAGTCTGCATAGGAGTGTCACAGGGTTTGGCATCGCTTAGATTACATTTGTTCAAGAGCTCTATGATCTTATCTCTCTGAGAAAGCTTGAATCCCCTTCTAGTTTTACTAATTTGAACACCAAGATACTTATTTACTTTGCCTAAAGATTTCAGTGAAAAATGTTCATTTAGCTTTGTTACAAATGTTTCTCTTCTTTCTTTATGTTTACCTATGTACAAAATGTCATCCACATAGATCAATACAAATTCTATGTAATCATCACCCTTTTTAACAAAGAAACAGTTATCAGCAGTAGTAGCACTGAAATCCATAGTTTTAAGTACTTTTACTAAACAATCATACCGTCGTTTACCAGATTGTTTTAACCCGTATAAACTTTTGTTTAATAACCAAGTCTCATTCTTGTTTGTGTATTGACTGTGAGGTGCTCTTACATATATTTCCTTATCTAATTTTGCGTGTAAATACGCAGTCTGTATGTCATATTGGAATACATCGAGATTGAGTGCTGATGCTACAACTAGAGCTGTTTTGACACTCTCAGTTCTTACTGTGGGGGAGTATGTGTCAGTATAATCCTCGGGATATTTCTGTGCATAACCTTGTGCAACTAATCTAGCCTTGTATAGAGTATTGCCTTCCTCTAAATTTTTAATTTTATATATCCACCTAGTGCCAATAATAGTTTTGTCCTTTGGTGCAATTGCAGGTGTAAATACATCTAATCCTTGTAAACTTTCCATCTCTTTTGTCATTGCTAATTCCCATTTTTCTTTTTCTTTAGGAGGAAGTTTTAACACTTCCTCATATGTATTAGGTGTCGTTGATTCTCCGTTCATATGCATTATATAATCCTTGTACTTATTTGGCATTTGATTTCTGGTGTTTCTAATTGTTTTTTCAGGTTTACTATTATTATCATGCAAATATCTTGCTTCCTTTTTTGTTAATGTATCTGTCTTTATTTTGTGTTGACTGTTTGTCCATGTTTTGGTTTTGTTTCTATGTTCATTGTCATTTTGCTTTTCTATAGTTCTTTTTTCTTGGGGTTTTGTATCTCTGTTGTTGCTTGGGAATATTTCATTAAGATGTATTTTAGACCAGTTGGCCTGTTCATGGAACACAGCTGTTCTGGAAACTATAAATTTGTTATTATTATCAATGAATCTGTATCCTTTTGTACCTGTCTCATATCCCATAAATCTAAGTCTTCTAGACACATTTTCTCCTTTTCTTCTTAATTGTTTAGGTATGTGTACGTCTACAGTGACTCCAAATATGTGCATGTGTGCTAATTTTGGTTTCCTATTATACATCACTTCATATGGTGTCTTATTTACAATGCTGGACCAAGTTCTATTTTGTGTGTAATTGGAATATTGTAGGGCTTCTGACCAGAATTGTTTGCTTAAGCCAGCATCTTCCAATGTGCATCTAATCATGGTTTGTAATGTTGAGTTCTTTCTCTCTACAATTCCGTTTTGGAATGCAGAAAATGGGCTAGATGTGTAATGTAACATTCCTTTGTCTTTCAGCCATTGGGAGAATTCCTTAGACATGAATTCACATCCCCTATCTGTCATGATTTGTTTTATTTTGATATTGTGTTGAGTTTCTACGCGTTTGTAAAATTCTTTAAATTTCTGAAAAGTTTCATCTTTATGTTTTAATGTGTAAACAAATCCATAACGACTATAATCGTCCACAATGGTTAAGAAGTAACGTTTTTTATAAGTGATTGATGGAGTTAGTGGACCAACCAGGTCCATGTGTACTAAATCAAAAATTTTGTTGGTTGACCTTGTTGATTTTCTAGGCCTGGGACTAGTTTTGAGTTTTGTAGACTTACATACTGAGCATTCCAAATAGTTTTCACAATTTTTTATTTTAACACCTTCTGCGTGTTCAGTCATTTTTTGTACTACAGGAAAACTGGCATGTCCTAACTTCCTATGTAAAACATGAGCACACTCATCATGAATTGGCTTACCTATTTTTGGTTTTTTCTCATTATGTGCATCCTTGTGATTATGAGCTACTTTACATTCATCATTGTCACTGTTACTAATGTTTCCATTATCTAGTTCAATACAATCTTCCATATTTGAATCAATGTTGTGTAACCATTTCTCCTTTGTTATTAAATAAGGTAGGCCTCCTTTAATCATTACTGTACCTATATCTATTTTATTTTTCTCCAAAGTCGCTTTTCCTTTTGAAAACACAATATTAATATCAGAATCTCTGCTTAGTTTTATGGCACTTAGTATGTTATGAGGTATTTCAGGTATTAGTAATACCCCCTCTATTTTTCCTAGGCCAGGTAAGGTTACATTTCCTCTACCTATTACTTGGACCTTTTCTTGGTTAGCTACCTTTATTACAAATTTATCTTCTACAAATGAAGATAATATACTTTTATTATTAGTGGTATGATTAGTTGCTCCAGAATCAATAAGCCAATTATTGTTCTCAGTTTGCTGTATGTTAGTGTTGTCTTGTTTGTTTAGTCCATTCAGTGAACCAGATTTTCTATCCTTTGAATTATCTCTGCCCCCTCTATGCTCTTTATAATTTGGTGGGCTTCTATATCTATGTCTATCAATGGAAGACTGTCTATAGTTGTATTTATTCCTGTGTTCTGACCTATGTCTTTCTTTTGGAATTTTGGGGCAATCTCTCCTATTGTGTTCCTTGGATCCACAGTTGTGGCATTTAAATGTTTCATGA